CTAAATCGCGCACTTGGACCAAAATGGCCGACTTCCTGTGCGACTTTGCACTTGGCTCCAAGAGACTTTTTTGTAGGTCCTGAGACACCACATTAGTGTACCAAATTTCGTAATCCTCAGTCAAAGCATGGCTTGGGGCTGACAGTTTTAATGGTCCTAGGGGGCGCTATTTCAGAAAATAGGCCACGCCCACCAGATGTTCACATCAGATCTTTTGGGGGGCCGGACTAGGATCACTCACAAGAAGTTTCGTGACGATATCTTTGGAAATGACGAAATGGGAGGCAAACGTAAGGCCACGGCGGTACGCCTGACTTCGCCGCGCCGCCACAGCCCCGCCCTCTGCCGAAAACTCCCATAAAGTGACGCCAAGCAACCCCCACTTGTCTTGAGTTAACAGCTACAAATTTGTGGTGATTAAGTGAAATGGGGCAATTTGGGACCTTTCACAGTAAAACTTGATCTTTTTGGTCCTGAGGGGGCGGGGCTTGTGTGATGTCATCATCCGACCATTCAATTTACTTTGTGGGTGGATGACGAATGACCACAGAAAGTTTGGTAACTCTATTCCATTCAGTTATGAAGTTATAGCAATTTAAATATTTTTGGCGAGTAGTCAAACTTCGAGGCCTGGCCCCGCCCCTTCAACATATACGAAAACTCAGAATTCTCATCTCATTTTGTTCGCCCATCCCTTCTTAAGAATTTTACACAATTTTTGAGACGATCGTGCGAAAAATGATCGAGCAATCCAATCAGAAACGGACCCTAAAAACGGCAAAAACGGCAAAAAATCGCCATTTCAACCCAAAATGGCCGACTTCCTGTTTGATATTGACCATGCTTGCAAGAGACTTTTCTGTGCGGACTATTGAGTACTACAAGTGTACCAAATTTCATAACTGTACGATAAACTAAGCTTTATGGAGAGGGTTTTTTTTCACTTTCTAGGGGGCGCTGTTCAGTCATTTTCTGTGTGATTTTTTTGGGACCTTTAAAATATCAAATTTTTCACCAGGCCTGACAAGTTTGCAAAATATTGTGAGTTTTGGGGTATGCTAAGGTCCCCAAAAAGCCGTTCAAAGGGGCACGAGAATAACAAAAAATAATAATAAAGAAAAATAATAAACAGAGCAAAAACAAGAGGCCTTCGCAGCGCTTTCGCTGCTCGGGCCTAATTAAAGCTGCAAGCAGCGTCGTTCGGCCCTCGCAGCTCCGCGCCGCTCCGGCCTGGCCGGCAGCCCGGGGCACCAGGGCACGTCCGCAGAACACAAACGTCGACCACCCCAACACCAGAAACTGCTAACGGCCACCTTGTCCGCAACTCACCCTGACTCAGCATCCCCTTTGAGCCCACCATTATATTTTATGTCTCACCACTAGGGAATCCTCTATCTTTACCACACTGGTGGTGTGATGACAGTGACCAACTTTAATGCTATTCTGACCATGTTTTTTAAAGTTATCGAAGGATAACGTTATCTAGGTGGCGCTGTGACCAACTACAGAAAAGTCCCATTGAGGTCAGCTTTGGTGACATTATATAACATTCACCAACCGTTTGTGCCTCATTGGCTAAAGGGCATGATTGTTCATTGCCAAATTCAGTTTCGGGCAAATCGGAGGCCGTTTGTGGAAGTTACAGTCAAATGTAAGGTCATGGCGTCACGCCAGCATTCACCATGGCATCAAAGCCCCTCCCTTTCTGGAAAGCTATCAGATCTGAATGGTCTTTAAAACATCATGAAGACACTGTATGACCTGAGTGTCATTTTCATTAAATTAGAGGGGACAAATATGGGCATTTCACCATAAAACAATAGACTTCCTGTTGTCAGGGGGCGGGGCTTAGGTGATGTCAGCTGTCCACATTGTCGTTGTCTTGAGATGTGGTCAGTGATCACACAGACAAAGTTTGAATTAGATCTGATCATGCACATGGGAGTTATTAAGTCAAGTAATGTCATGGCGAAAGGTCAAAGTTTGAGGCTTAGCCACGCCCACACCTTTATACTTATTTAAAATCCGACGGTTGAATTTTTTCCCCTTTGACTTAAAAGTACATAGCATAAGTTTGAAGGTGATCGGTGTAAAGGGCAACGGGCCATCAATGTCCAAACAACGTGTGCGAAAACCACTAAATCGAGTACTTGGACCAAAATGGCCGACCTCCTGTGCGAAATTGCGCTTGGCTCCAAGAGACTTTTTTGTAGGGCCAGAGACCCTACATGAGTGTACCAATTTTCGTAATCCTCAGTCAAACCTTGTCTTGGGGCTGACAGTTTTAATGGTCCTAGGGGGCGCTATTTCAGAATATAGGCCACGCCCACAAATCTCAGATGCCCATTTCTATTGGGGGTCAGACTAGGATCACTCACCAGACATTTTGTGGCGATGTCACGATAATTGAAGAAATGAGAGGCAAACGTATTGCCATGGCGTGATGGCGAATTTCGCCATGCTCCCAAAGCCCCGCCTTTTTTCAAAACCTGCCAGTACTGTAGACCAAGTGACCTCAACTTGTCAGCTAATATTTACCAGAGATTCCAGGTGATTGGGTAAAAGGAGTCCAATAGGGAGCTGTGAAAAAAAGAGTGGCGTGGCGAAAGGTCAAAGTTTGAGGCTTAGCCACGCCCACACCTTTATACTTATTTAAAATCCGACGGTTGAATTTTTTCCTCTATGTCTTAAGAGTATATAGCAGAAGCTCGAAGGCGATTGGTGAAAAGGGCGACGGAGCATCACTCTCCAAACAACGTGTGTGAAAACCACTAAATCGAGTACTTGGACCAAAATGGCCGACTTCCTGTGCGACTTTGCACTTGGCTCCAAGAGACTTTTTTGTAGGTCCTGAGACACCACATTAGTGTACCAAATTTCGTAATCCTCAGTCAAAGCATGGCTTGGGGCTGACAGTTTTAATGGTCCTAGGGGGCGCTAATACAGAAAATAGGCCACGCCCACAAACTTAAGCTGACCTTTTCTATTGGGGGTCAGACTAGGATCACTCACAACAATGGTCGAGGTGATATCACGATAAATGAAGAAATGAGAGGCAAACGTATTTCCATGGCGTGATGGCGAATTTCGCCATGCTCCCAAAGCCCCGCCTTTTTTCAAAACCTTCCAGTACTGGAGACCAAGTGACCTCAACTTGCCTGCTGCTATTTACCAGAGATTCCTGGTGATTGGGTAAAAGGAGTCCAATAAGGAGCTGTGAAAAAAAGAGTGGCGTGGCGAAAGGTCAAAGTTTGAGGCTTAGCCACGCCCACACCTTTATACTTATTTAAAATCCGACGGTTGAATTTTTTCCTCTATGTCTTAAGACTATATAGCAGAAGTTTGAAAGTGATTGGTGAAAAGGGCGACGGAGTATCACTCTCCAAACAACGTGTGTGAAAACCACTAAATCGCGCACTTGGACCAAAATGGCCGACTTCCTGTGCGACTTTGCACTTGGCTCCAAGAGACTTTTTTGTAGGTCCTGAGACACCACATTAGTGTACCAAATTTCGTAATCCTCAGTCAAAGCATGGCTTGGGGCTGACAGTTTTAATGGTCCTAGGGGGCGCTATTTCAGAAAATAGGCCACGCCCACCAGATGTTCACATCAGATCTTTTGGGGGGCCGGACTAGGATCACTCACAAGAAGTTTCGTGACGATATCTTTGGAAATGACGAAATGGGAGGCAAACGTAAGGCCACGGCGGTACGCCTGAATTCGCCGCGCCGCCACAGTCCCGCCCTCTGCCGAAAACTCCCATAAAGTGACGCCAAGCAACCCCCACTTGTCTTGAGTTACCAGCTACAAATTTGTGGTGATTAAGTGAAATGGGGCAATTTGGGACCTTTCACAGTAAAACTTGATCTTTTTGGTCCTGAGGGGGCGGGGCTTGTGTGATGTCATCATCCGACCATTCAATTTACTTTGTGGGTGGATGACGAATGACCACAGAAAGTTTGGTAACTCTATTCCATTCAGTTATGAAGTTATAGCAATTTAAATATTTTTGGCGAGTAGTAAAACTTCGAGGCCTGGCCCCGCCCCTTCAACATATACGAAAACTCAGAATTCTCATCTCATTTTGTTCGCCCATCCCTTCTTAGCAATTTTACACAATTTTTGAGACGATCGTGCGAAAAATGATCGAGCAATCCAATCAGGAACGGACCCTAAAAACGGCAAAAACTGCAAAAAATCGCCATTTCAACCCAAAATGGCCGACTTCCTGTTTGATATTGACCATGGTTGCAAGAGACTTTTCTGTGCGGACTGTTGAGTACTACAAGTGTACCAAATTTCATAACTGTACGATAAACTAAGCTTTATGGAGAGGGGTTTTTTTCACTTTCTAGGGGGCGCTGTTCAGCCAGTTTCTTTGTGATTTTTTTGGGACCTTTAAAATATCAAATTTTTCACCAGGCCTGACAAGTTTGCAAAATATTGTGAGTTTTGGGGTATGTTAAGGTCCCCAAAAAGCCGTTCAAAGCGGGCTAAGAATAATAAAAAATAATAATAAACAGAGCAAAAACAAGAGGCCTTCGCAGCGCTTTGCTGCTCGGGCCTAATAAAATAAAGTTACATTTGGTATAGCATGGATAAATCTGACTTTATAAATGTGAAATTTGCCCAACAGACACAGCAATTTTATTACATCGTTAACTTCCTTGTTACATTTAACGTTTAAGAATAAGACCAGATACAATCTATTCTTCAAATAACAAAAAGGCGATGAAGACAAATGTGTATTTGAAGCATTACAAGTGCTTGTGTAATATGTAATCTCACATGTTCTGTTTTCTTTTTATTTGTGTTCTTTGGTGAATAGGTTTTGTTAGTCAATAAAAATGCAAGTTCATCTAAATGTTCATGAATGTAAGATCTTAAAAGCAGAAATAAAAAAAAAACGAAAAAAATAACTGCTCTGCTGTTTAAATCGGTGAATCGTACAATTTACGAGGGGAAGCGAAAGCCTCTCGGGGAAGCGAAAGCCTCTCGGGGTGTACGTCATCAGCGGGCGCTAGATACGGGTGAAAGGTCTGGTTTAGCTCAGGGTGGGTAGTTTTATCAAAAGAAAGCACAAGCATCAAGAAAGGTCAACATGAGGAAGGTATTCGTCTTGACCAGAGTTACTCGTCTCCTGGTGCCGGAGCGAGTCTTTCATTCCGCAGTCGGAAGAGAAGCGTTCCACCTTCAGCAGCGGAGGTGCTTCAGAACGCACTCAAGGAATCTCGCCTATGCCAAGGACTTGTTCCTCGGCCAGATTAATAAGGTAACTGGAGACACAACCCCACCAGTATTTGACTGCGCTAAAGCCAGCCTCTACTCGCCGATTAACGGCCCTCACTCGATTTTGCTAGGCGCACGTGTTCGCAGCTTTACAGTAAAAGGTCGGGGCACTGTTTTTCAAAATAAAAGCCCATTTTCTGACTGATTATTTAAAAAAATCTTTAAAAATGGAATTAAAAAATGATCAAATTATAGTTAGCTTATATATTGCAAAGGTGGAAATGACTAAAGAAACAGTTTTGACAATCCTTTTAAAATATGTTACTCCATGAGTCCATAGTGACTTAATGCTATATTACAAATCGACGACCTCTCGTTATTCCCGTGAAACTTCATTCAACAGCTTATTTTCATTTATGAATTATGCATCCAAAAGCCTATACATATTACACACAAACACTGTTTCCAGAATACCTTAATAATCTCTGTTATCTTCTGATGTGAAAGAGATAAGAGTTGACACCACTGGAAGGGTCATCAATATCTGATGTGGAATTTCAAAATAACAGACCTTTGAAAATGGTTATAAATCATTCATTCCTCTACTTTGAATAAATATTTAAAAAAATCTCCTTGTTTAGTTTTAGAACGCCCCAATTTTTCCAGTTATTTATTGCAGTGTAATTCATTCTAGTCAAATGAATAGCTTGAAACGGTACAAAGTTAAGCGGTGAACTGCCAGAGGTTTAAAAAAGGTACGTTTATTCAAAACTGAAAAATAATGTACATTACAGAATTATACAAAAAGGCCTTTTTCAGGGAACACAGCTGTTAGTCAGCAATGGAGGTTGATCAAGCCTTGAAAGCTGGTGCTACTAATTCCTGCAGGTGTTTTCTGGATAACTTACAACCCCCTCTGTCTGCATAAAAGCAGTGTTGGAACATACTGTAGTACCATACCCTCGTGAGCATCTGTTGTACTGCAGATAATTGTGTGTTGCTACAAAAATATTGGTTTCAAATTGGTTTCTTGAACATGACAATGAGTTCACTGTACCACACACACACATTTATATATACATATATATCTATATATATCTATCTATATATATATACAGGTCCTTCTAAAAATTTGCATATTGTGATAAAGTTCATTATTGTCTGTAATGTACTGATAAACATTAGACTTTCATATATATCAGATTCATTACACACAACAGAAGTAGTTCAAGCCTTTTATTGTTTCTAATATTGATGATTTTGGCATACAGCTCATGAAAACCCAAAATTCCTATCACAAAATATTAGCAAATCATGAAAATGCTCTCTAAACGAGCGATTAACCTACTCATCTGAATCACCTAATTAACTCGAAACACCTGCAAAATATTCCTGAGTAGGGCTGGGCGATATGGACCAAAACTTATATCTCGATATCTTTAAGCTGAATTCCGATATACGATATATATCTCGATATTTTTCCTCCTGTAAACTGTTGACAAGTTAACTCACTTCAAGCTCTTGAGAAATTATATACATAAATCAGTAGGTTAAATGCATAAAAATGTATTGATTCTTGTCCAACTTTAACCGTAATGCCTATTCTCTACCAGTCTGAGCTTTAGAAACACAGGTACAGCTGTCTGCTAACACACACACACACACACACACACACACACACACACACACACACACACACACACACACACACACACACACACACACAGTTGAGAGCCAGAGGTGTATCAAATGTCCCACAGGCACTTTTTAATTATATATTTAGAATTAATGTAAAACTATTTAAATTTCATCTAGAGGTGGCCCATATTGTATAGGTCTTGTCCAGAGAAAAAAATCCATCATGTTAAGCTAAATGTACGATGATGTAATTGCATCTACTGAAGATCACATGGGTCGTGCACCATGGAGTTATTAGTTATTAGAAAAACTAGTTATTAACTAGTTGTTAGTTATTAGTTAGCAGTGTTGGCTCATATCAGCGATTATACTGTAATGATTCAGAGTCTCTGGTTGCTCTTTTATGAGTGTTATTTTCGGGCTACTGTCGCCATAACCCACACCTTACAAACTCAACTTTTTCATCAGAATCACTCGTAACGGAGTATTTACTAGCATAGCAAACCAGAGCGGAAAAAAACGGAACCGGAACAACATTTCTCACCCGTTGAGTTCGCCTTCAAAATAAAACGGTAACCCTATAGTTTACTATTCAAACCCTTACGATGTTTCAGGTCATTTGGCCACTCCGGCTTTCCGTAGCCGTTTCCTCATTACACAGGGGAGGGAGGGGTTTGGCTCGTCTCTCCGCACAAGCAGGATGGAAAACAGAACTCCGTTGGCATTGAACGTCCCCAAATAATTAAAAACCAGGACACCAAATGCAAAGTTTAGAGCAGCACATTTACCCAGAGGTTCTCAGACTGAGCAAACTTGTGAGAATACACGTAATAGCCGCTTAGAGACGGAGCAACATGTCGCTAGCATAGCGGCTAATCGCTAGCATAGCAGTTTGGCCAGTTATATCGATATAAAGATATAAAGTCATCATATCTTGTTTAGAAATTATACCGATATTTAAAGAATATTGATATATCGCCCAGCCCTATTCCTGAGGCTTTTAAAAAACTCCCAGCCTGGTTCATTACTCAAAACTTCAATCAAAGGTAAAACTGCCGACCTGGCTGCTGTCCAGAAGGCCATCACTGACACCCTCAAGCAAGAGGGTTAGACACAGAAAGAAATTTCTGAACGAATAGGCTCTTCCCAGAGTGCTGTATCAAGGCATCTCAGTGGGAAGTCTGTGGGAAGGAAAGTGTGGCAGAAAACGCTGCACAACGAGAAGAGGTGACTGGACCCTGAGGAAGATTGTGGAGAAGGACCAATTCCAGACCTTGGGGGACCTGCGGAAGCAGTGGACTGATTCTGGAGTAGAAACATCCAGAGCCACCGCGCACAGGCGTGTGCAGGAAATGGGCTACAGGTGCTGCATTCCCCAGGTCAAGCCACTTTTGAACCAGAAACAGCGGCAGAAGTGCCTGACCTGGGCTACAGAGAAGCAGCACTGGACTGTTGCTCAGTGGTCCAAAGCACTTTTGTCGGATGAAAGCAACTTTTGTATGTCATTCTGCAATCAAGGTGCCAGTGTCTGGAGGAAGACTGGGCAGAGGGAAATGCCAAAATGCCTGAAGTCCAGTGTCAAGTACCCGCAGTCAGTGATGGTCTGGGGTGCCATGTCAGCTGCTGGTGTAGGTCCACTGTGTTTTATCAAGGGCATGGTCAATGCAGCTAGCTATCAGGAGATTTTGGAGCACTTCATGCTTCCATCTGCTGAAAAGCTTTATGGAGATGAAGATTTCATTTTTCAGCATGGCCTGGCACCTGCTCACAGTGCCAAAACCACTGGTAAATGGTTTACTGACCATGGTATTACTGTGCTTAATTGACCTGCCAACTCTCCTGACCTGAACCCCGTAGAGAATCTGTGGGATATTGTGAAGAGAAAGTTGAGACGCAAGACCCAACACTCTGGATGAGCTTAAGGCCGCTATCGAAGCATCCTGGGCCTCCATAACACCTCAGCAGTGCCACAGGCTGGTTGCCTCCACGCCACGCCTTATTGAAGCAGTCATTTCTGCAAAAGAATTCCCGACCAAGTATCGAGTGCATAACTGAACATAATTATTTGAAGGTTGACTTTTTTGTATTAAACACACTTTTCTTTCACTGGTCAGATGAAATATGCTAATATTTTGTGATAGGAATTTTGGGTTTTCATGAGCTGTACGCCAAAATCATCAATATTAGAAACAATAAAAGGCTTGAACTACCTCAGTTGTGTAATGAATCTAATATATATGAAAGTAATGTTTATCAGTACATTACAGGAAATAATGAACTTTATCACAATATGCTAAGTTTTTTAGAAGGACCTGTATATATATATATATATATATATATATATATATATATATATATATATATATATGTATATGTATATATATATATATGTTGATGTAAATGTTGTTCACAATACTCTGATGTAAATGTCTATTAAAAGCCTGTCCACACATACATACTGTACTTGTTCCTATCAAATAAATACGTACAACAGACTTCTTTTTTAGATCCAAATGTTCTAAATCTTGAAACAATGCCACTTGACATAAACATTATTCTGCTTGTCCTCCAGGCTGAAGTCTTCCCTTATCCAGAAATTGGAAATGAAGAGCTGGAGGAGCTCAAGCAGTTTGTAGCACCAGTGGAGAAGTTTTTCAGTGAGGAAGGTGAGAGAGATGTTAGTACGTTTTTTTGGAATCTGTAACCTCACCGTTAAAAATTCATAAAATATTGTTTTCTTGTTCTAGTTGATTCAGCAACAATTGACCATGAAGCTAAAATCCCTGCAGAGACTCTTCGAGGCCTAAAGGATCTTGGGCTGTTTGGAATCATGATTCCTGAGGAATATGGTGAGATTAGATGATAAAACAGATCTTAGACCAGTGAGTCTTAGCAATGGTTCCTGATCCAGTGATAACCAGCTGATTGGCTGTTGGAAGATATTTGATCAAAATAGGATGGGAGACAGATCTTTTAGTTATCAGGCTCCTTTCTAATGAAACCAGCTTCCAGCTTTATTCCATGAGGCAGACACATCTACTTGTAAGACTAGGCTTAAAGCATTTTTATTTGGTAAGGGTCATGGTTAATAATAACAAAAATAATAATAATACATCAAACTTCTATAGCGTTTTTTAGGGCACTCAGAGATACTTTCATGCACTCTCACATTCACACACTGCTAGTGATGGTAAGCTACTTTGTAGCCACAGCCGCCCTGGGACGGTCTGAAAGAGGGGAGGCTGCCATTTGGTGCCGTCGGCCCCTCTGACCACCAACAACATAGGCAAGTTGGGTGAAGTGTCTTGCCCAAGGACACAACAGCAGAATACCCCTGGCAGGAGCTGGAATTGATCCCATGACCCTCCGATCATGAGGCAACCCGCTCTACCTCCTGAGCTACTGCTGCCCAAGTTAAATTCTGTTAGCCTTGATTTGGATGAGTAGGGGAGTAGAGGGAGGTGGAGTGTACAGCGGGGAATACGTTCGGTAAAGATAGCTTTCCCTTGTCCTACCTCTCACATGGCTCCATCTAAAAGGCTAGGTTATCCAAAGTTATATCTGTAGTTATGCTGCTGTAGGCTTAGACTGCTGGAGGATACACCGACTACTTTCCATCCTTTATAACTTTCTTCTACCACTACTCTCCAATTGCAATATTCCCTGCTATTTCTGATGTTAAAGGGATATTCCACCCCTAAGTAAAATTTTGTCAGTTGTCCTATTCCTCTGGGTTAGATAAGTGAGAAAACCATTTTGTAACCAGCTCAGTCATTCCCCTGATGTGACAGCAGTCTGTTTGCTTCATTTCTGCATTCGCATAAAAGTTTGCCTCATCGCTGAACAAAATCTTCTGCGTAAACTGAGGGTCCTGTTCCAATTTTTGTTATGGCTCATTCTGCAAATTCTGTGTACCGATCTGGGTCATCCTCATTGAGATGTTGCAGTGGCTGAAGTTTGTAAGGGTGCCATTTGTGAGTAGCTAATATCCACCGAATGGATGTTCGACTAATGCCACTCTCCATTGACATGCGGTGAGTGCTACACTGTGAGATCTTGCTGAATGAAGCTAGGACAACCACTGATGTTTCTTCATTAGTGACAGTTTTAATGCATCCACATTTTGGCAAATCCAACACTGAACCCCTCTTCGGGGGGAAACTCCCACTGGGTTTAAATCCGGGACTCTCCACCATTTGACCTTAGAACTGAAGAAGCCTCTCAGATGAGAGGTGAAACGTCTTCAAGCAACTCAAAGAAGTCCAGACGCTTTTCTTTCAAAGCTCATTAGACAACACTGAACCAGTTTCACGAAACTTAATAAGCAGTTTGCTAACTGTAGAATGGGAGATGGGTGGTCTCGTAGGGTGTCTTGCATTGAAATCTGCTGCAATGACCCAGTTACTGCGTTCACCAGATGTCAACACAATTTCAATCTGCTTCTCACGTGTTAACCTCTTCGGCTGTGAACAAAGAGAAACTTGTAAATAAGTCATGAAAGAATAAAGTTACGTTCAAACCAAGCACACCATTCTTTTTCTTGTGAAATTCCCAAAAAGTTTGATGTGTCACGTGACCCTCTTCCTATTGAAAAAAACAAAAGTTGGATCCAAGATGGCCGACTTCAAAATGGCCACCATGGTCAACACCCATCTAGAAAAGATTGCCCCCTCACATATACTAACGTGCCACAAACAGGATGTTAATATCACCAACCATTCCCATTTTATAAAGGTGTATCCATATAAATGGCCTACCCTGTATTACCCACAGAGGAAGCTCCAGAGTTCTGAATAAAAAAAAACAGCCATTAAAATTCTGAGAATTAAATGTTTGTTGTGTTTTTGTCTCACTCTTGTTTTTTAATCTAAGGGGGTCTGGGATTGTCCAACACCATGTATGCACGGCTGAATGAGATCATAGCTCTAGATGGCTCTATAGCTGTAACTCTGGCGGCCCATCAAGCCATTGGACTGAAGGTAGGAGTCCTAAAGCAGGACTATCCAAGCATTCAAGACACGGTCCAACACTGTCCAGATAAAAACTCAGGGGACACAACTGTCATAGTTTTGTGTAGAGCTTGATGATGTAATCATTCCTATGCAAAGATTATTTTCATATCTATCGACATATATCATTACAGAAAACAAATCCCTATTTTGCTCCATCTTTAATTGTCTCTTGTGCTTTTAAGGTGAGATTTGAAGATATCAGAAGTTTATTTTTGATTTAAAGATTTGTTCTCAAAAGCTGTACAGTGATCTCTCGTTTATCGCGGTAGATGCGTTCCAGACCTGGCCGCGATAGGTGAAAATCCGCGAAGTAGGGACACCATATTTACAGTATTTATTTAACGGGTACGTATTCAGTATTCAGACTTTTAAAACCCTCCCTTTACACAGTACTGTATTTTTACTTGGTTTTTTATAGTTTTATTACAAAAAGTGCATTTTATGATGAAATTGATGAAAAAAACAGGAATTTCTTGATATTCCGCATAGAAAAATGCCGTGAATCGATGAAAAATACCGCGAATCGGCGAATTTCCCTTGAATAAGGCTCCAAAGAAAAAATCCGCAAAGTCGTGAATCCGCGATAAACGAACCGCGAAGTAGCGAGGGATTACTGTACATGTAAACATTCTACAACTGATGTGGATAAACAAGAGGTTTATTTTAGACAAATCTTTCAAGTATTAGAAGATAACTGAACAAAAATGGAGAAATAATTTTGTTGTCAAATTACTAAAATGAGCATTAAAATATATATCAAAGTCTCTCTGCATGTTGAAAGCATAGCTTTTCAAGAACAAGCGATAAAAAGCTATGTGGATTTTTTCAGGGGATTCTGTTGGCTGGGAATGAAGCTCAGAAGAAGAAGTACCTGCCCAAACTTGCCTCAGGAGAGCACATCGCAGCTTTCTGTCTCACAGAATCTGGAAGGTAAAAGCCCCATACTGAATATCTTACCTGCAGCGTTATGGATGCCCGAACCTCTGACTGAACTTTTCATATTTTTACACAAAACAAACTGTTCCAGTACAGGGGCTTGATGTCCACAATGCAGTAAACCTGGATAAAATTGAACAGTTGGACAAAAAAACGTAGAATTTACTTGTAAAACATTCAAAAGACAAAATTAGTAATATACAAATATAGAAAATATAGAAATGTTGGATTTCTTTTCAGGCTCAGTGTTTTTACAAAACCAGTCACAGTTGGTGTCAGTGTTTGGTCCGATTCAACTGTGTGACCTAGATAAACAGATGAACATGAAGAAACACACGATTTTAATTATTACTCTGTTGATGACACTTTTTAAATATATTACGAAACTACACATTTAAAGTTGCAATCTGTAGTTTCCAGCCTCTAGAGGGCAGTACATACATACATTTCAGGGTAGTTTAACCCCCACTTCTTCCTGACAGTCACTAGTTTAAAAAACATTACAGTAAATGTTACCTGTGGAGCAGAAAGAATGCAACCTTGGTGTGTTCAGACTTTGATGGTTCTTCTGGTAATTCCATAAGAGAATGAAATGCAGTTTGTAGTTGGGGGGGGGGGGGGGGGGTTGCGCCTGCCGATCGTCATCATACTACGACAATATTGCTCAGCCAAAATATATTGCGTCTCTTTTTCAAATCTGTTCTTTTATGTATGTTTTGGAAAGAGTTTAGCAATTTTGTTATTAAATTTGTTTCTTACTGCATAAATGTTTTTGAACGAGGTAACGTTACTTCCAAAAGTTGTATGTTCAGCCAGTGATCTGGTGTGACATCTACAGGCGCAGGACCCTAAGTTGGCCAGAAGGAAACATGGCGTCCCCTATAGAGGCTAGACCCGCACCTTATGTACTTTAGACCTGATTTTGATGGTTATATGGGAAGAAGCCACCAATATTTTTCAACAACTGGATTTTATTCATTTTCAAATATGTTTTGATGGATATTTCCAGAGACTAAAGGTAAAAACTGCTGATTGTCTCTTTAAAACTGAATATCCTAACTCAATGCACTGATAAGTAGGTTCAGTTGAAATGTTTACTTTGTAAAGTGCCTTGAGACGACTCTTCTGATTTGGTGCTTTACAAATGAACTGAATTGAAATAAATGGAATTAAACAAAGTTTATGGCAGGCAAACATTCAAACAGCAACTATAATGTTGGAGAAGTTTCTTTCAGTGTTTGTAAATAAAACAGAAATATGAATGTTGGAACCTAGGCCCTCATTTATCTAAACGTTCATAGAAACTGTCCTATATTCCCTCCTTTGACTGAAATTTAGAATGTGTGTACAAAAAGTCAAAAGATTGATTTATGAAACATGTGGTGGCCTCTCGTATGCATGTTCCTCTGTCCATTGTTTCCGTTCTCAGTCATTTACATACAGACTAACTATTTGGTTAGGGTCCTAAATCACAGCATAGCAGAAGGATTTTCTTTGAGATCGGTGCGCTCACAGAGAACACGTTCCCTCCAGTGTGCACGCTATGTTAAATCCTCAAATAACACGGATTATTCTTCAAGAGGAACCAGTTGAGGTGGCTTGAGCATCTGGTCAGGATGCCTCCAGGACGCCTGCCTGGTGAGGTTTTCCGGGCACGTCCAACTGGGAGGAGACCTAAAAGGAGACCCATGACATGTTGAAGGGACTATGCCTCTCACCTGGCCAGGGAATGCCCTGGGATTCCCCCGGAAGAGCTGGCCCAAGTAGCTGGGGAGAGGGAAGTCTGGGCCTCTCAACTTAGGCCACATGTGTCAGACACAAGGCCTGATGCGGCCCGCAAGATAAATATCAAAAATATATTAAAACTGACCCACTGGCCGATTTTACCGCAGACTACAACTCCCATGATGCATTGCGGCGTTAGCGTGGAGCCGAAGCGCCCCCTCCATTGTGTTTTTTCCAGCATCTGCTGCCGGTGTCTGCAGCTCCGCTGTCTCGGACAAACTAAACACTCCTCTCACTCAGTGCCGAGTTCACTCAGCTATTTGCCGACGTTGAAGCCCAGAAACAGAGATTTTAACCGCTCAGGAATGTGTTCACGACTGAAAGAGAAAGTTTTCCAACTAACTTCCAGACAGAGCTGATATAACTCCAGCGAGCAGCGACACGCTCAAACCAGCATGGCTCTGTGGCTGCTGTAGTTTTTATTTTTCCTCCCCGACACACAACAACGTGGTCAAGCTGCTCAGACATGTTCAGCAGCACAAACCTATGTGAGCACCTGTTGTCATCTAATGTTGTCATTATTATGATGAAGATGAACAAAACAACAGGAGTCTCCTCCTCAGCTCAGATCAACCCCATGATGCAGGTATCTGGCAGAAACAGGTGAGCATCACAGTAAATCAGAGGAGCAAACTGAGCAAGTATTTTGGTTTTATGCTCTTATTCTGCTCCAAAACATGAAAGTTAACAGGTGAGATATTACATTTTCATTTAAGACAAAATTATATTTTTATTTTGTTGTTTGCCAAGGCCGGATTATAATATGGGCAAACTGGGCACAGGCCCAGGGGCCCACAGCCGCAAGAAGAAGATGAAGAAAATATAATTTCTATAGCGCCTCTCAAGATAAAAATCACGAGGCGCTTCACAAAAACAAAAAATATAAAAAAGTATTTAGAAAATGTTTAAAAATATATTTAGAATGAGCAAAAATGGACGATTGGGATTTAAAAGAAAATATGTTAAGAAAGAGAGTCAATTGGAAAGTGGGAACTCAGTGGATCCTGAGGAAGGTGGAATAGGTGGGGAGAGCAGAATAAAGAGAGTGGTGAAGAAGGTCATACAAAAGTCAGCTTGAACAAGTGAGTCTTCAGCTCCTTTTTAAAGGAGACCACCGAGTCCACTGATCTCAGGCTCAGGGAGAGAGAGGTCCAGAGTCTGGGGGCCACAGCAGCAAATGATCTGTCACCTTTGGTCTTTAGCCTGGTGCTGCACAACCAGTAGGCTTTGATCACTGGACCTCAGGGACCTGCTGGGGGTGTAGGGACTAAGAAGATCACCAATATAAGATGGTGCTTGTCCATGTAAGGCCCCATAGACCAGAACCAGGATCTTGAAATGAACCCTGAAGTTGACTGGCAGCCAATGAAGCTGGAGGAGAAGCGGGGTGATGTGGGTGTGTTTGGAGGACTTGGTCAGAAGCCGAGCACAGACATTCAGAACCACCTGTAGACGGTTAGGTTCTACTCAGACACGTGAGAGTTACAGTAGTCTAAGCGTGAGGAGATGAAGGTGTGGAGAACTGTCTCAAGTTCAGAACGAGACAGAATGAGATTCAGCTTAGCAATGTTCCTGAGATGGAAGAAGGAAGAGCGAACAAGAGAACTGACCTGAGAATCCAGGGTGACAGCTGGGTCAAAGGTCACGCCAATATTCCTGACAGAAGGTTTGGTGTGAGAAGCAAGCTGACCAAGAGAGTCTCTGACTTTGGGAACAAGCTTGTCTGGGGCACAGATGAGGATCCCAGTCTTATCTTCATTCAGCTGAAGAAAGCTCCCAGCCATCCAGGTTTTGATAGAGTCTAAGCAGGTGTGTAACAGCTGCAGCTTAGACATCTCATGGGGCTTAAAGGAGATGTACAGTTGGATGTCATCTGCATAAAGATGGTAGGAGATTCCTTTGAAGGAGTTCAGGATGTGCTAAAGAGGAAGCAGATAGAGGAGGAAGAGCAGAGGCCCCAGCACAGAACCTTGTGGGACACCATGGGTAAGGGAGGTGGAGGACCTAAACTTGGAGACGGCCACAGAAAAGGAGCGCACAGAGAGATAAGAGGAGAACCACTCCAGAGCAGATCCTGATAGGCCTACCCAGTCTCTCAGCCTCTCCAGGAGCAGGTGATGGTCAACAGTGTCAAAGGCTGCAGTCAGGTCCAGCAGGACCAGAACAGAACAGTCCCCTGCATCACTGTGGGTCAGAAGGTCATTAGAGACCCTAAGAAGAGCTGTTTCAGTAGAATGAGCTCTACGAAAACCTGACTGGAAGCTTTCATAGATGTTATGTTCATCAAGAGCAGCTGTGAGTTGTTTAGCCACAACCTTTTCCAAGATCTTGGAGATGAACAGAAGTTTAGAGATGGGTCTGAAGCTGCTATGGAGAGAGGGGTCGAGACTCGGGTTTTTAAGAAGCGGGTGGATTACAGCATTCTTAAAGTAAGCAGGGACCTCACCAGAAACCAGAGAAGCATTAATTATAGAGAGCACGCTGGGACCGATGGACTGAAAAGCACTTTTAAACAAAGATGAGGGTAAGATGTGGAGGGGGCATGCAGAGGTCTTCATAGAGTTAACTAGTTTGGTTAACTCAGGCAAAGAAACAGGAGCAAAGCTATCTAGGATGATGACAGGAGCAAAGCTAGGGGGCACACGCAAGCAGCAGTCTTCTTTTTTTTTTTGTGCAGCAGTCTTAAAGTTGGAGAAAAATGTTGAGAAGTAATAAAAATTGCACCCACATTTTCTATGTTAACACGCATCTCTTTTAACAATGGTAGTTTTTGCATCTTTACTGTTCCTGCTTCAGCCCTCCCCCTCCCCCTGTGCCGCGGTCACAAACTCATTGATGCGCCTGCAGCCTCTCGGAGTTCCTGCTACTCTAAACATTAAAATAATTATTTCATTTTCTGTTCCTCACTTCTGATTACCTTCAATGGTGTCTGTTTGTTGCAACCACCAGGTACAAAAACTAACTTGTTTTCATTTGACTATTTTTCTGTCCTGTCTGTTTATTATCTTCCGGCATTTCCTCTCAATCCTAAAGAAAAACTGCTACCTGGGTTCATATATATTCACCTTATGAGTTACCTTTGAACTGCAGTTCTAAAAGATCTACCAACCGCAAAAACAGTGTAGTGTGCACCGGGCGCCGGCCGCACCGGTGAGGTGAAATCACCAGAGGACGAAACAGGTTATCCGCTCCGCAGCAGTGAAATGCAT